TACAATAAACAAGACCAATGTAAGAGTCAATAGTACTTCAACTTCAAGATAATACGTTTTCCCTCAGTAATATGATCTACCAATACATATATGTTTCAGTAGCCTATAGTTGTTATGTCTTAGGAGAGTGGAACTTACAGAAAGAGAATTTCCTTAAAACATGTTCTGCAGAACTGGGTTAAAAAAACAGCCAGTGCTGGAAAACAGTGAATTAGAGAAATAAATAATTCAATCACTGTACTACAGCTCCTGCCCCAATCTCTCTATTTCCTCAATGAGGAAGTCAATGTCAGACTTAGTTGCTGCTGGGTTTGAGATGACCATTCGGAAGAAGTTGACTTTATCGCCCTGAGGCTGATATCCAACCATGGTAGTACCTGACTCCATCATCAGTGCTTTGATTTTCGGTGCCACCTTTATTGTGTTTAAAAAAAAAAAGAGAGAGAGAGAGAGGAGAGAGAGAGAGAGAAGAGTAATGAAAAATTTTTATCCTTTCTTTGTATGTCACAACATTTCTTAATTTGGAAAAAATAAATGGACAGATCAGAACGGCACTAGCTTTTATAAAAAGATCTGTAAGAGAAAAAGCTTGAAAAACTAAATATGTAGGATTGGGTATTTAAAGGAAAATTGATAACAGTAATATCCATCTTCTTGATTAATAGACTGATAGCATTCTAGAGTACTCACTATATAATAATTTTATATATTAAATGTATGTGTCATTTCTCTGTGCTGAAGATTTTGACATGAAGAAGTATTTTCAGTCTTTTTAAGAAAACCTACTCCAGAACCACCTTTTTGAGGGTAACAGATGTTTTCCATGAGAATATTACGTATTCTCAAAGTCATTTCGGAGGCAATGATGGAAATTTTTCAACAAGATCTATGTCATAAAGAATATTTTCTGTTAGCGTAAGCCATGGAAACCTCCCAGCAGTTTTACAATGCTGTGTATTTAACACAATCTCACTTCCTCACTTTAATTTACAAGGAATAATGTTCTGACAGTCTTAATATCTGGTATTGACTGAGCCCAGTTTTGCCATTTCTTTCTCCCACTCTACTTTCTGCCAGCCACGGTCAGATGTCTGGCTCTTTTACTGTTTTGTAGGATGCTTTATAATGTCCTCTAACATTTAACAGGGTCAAGTCAAACATTTCATCCTTCTTCCCAGTCTTATCTTCCTCATTTCTCTCTTTTTTTGCAATTTCTTTACCAAACATGTCACTGGCTTGACCCAGGAATTTCTGTTCTCTTCTGTTCTCTTTCCCGAGTGTGATGCAGACATAAAGTCCTCTACAAAACCTCCCAAGTTTGCCCATTCTTCTCCCTTCCCAAACATAAAAAAAAAAAAAAAAGCAATTAATTTTGACAACTATAAAATCATTCTTTTGTCTCCTGCATGTATTTCATTCCACTTCTGTCTGTCTAAAATACTCCTGCAAAATGAATGCATTTCACTTCCCTCAAGTCCTAAGTAACACGATACTTTTCCTGGTGGTGCCTCTACGATGCCTTCACTTCCCTCTATCATTTCTTCAAATAAATTTATCCCAAAGTCCTCCAAAGGGTATTCCTTTTTAACTGAAATGCATTAATGCATGACTAACCAAGCACATTTAAAATCAAAATAAAGACCTGAGAAGGACTTACAGGTTTCCATGTCCTTTACCCAATCCCAGCTTTTTCAAATAATTACCCTTCCATTTCTCTTGCTGATATGCTGCCCTATTCAAACAGGACTGGGAGGTCTTTGTACCTAGCTGCTTTCTAAAGATTTCTAACACTCTTGGGAGCACACAAGTGACACAAAACAAAGAATAACTGACTATGTTCTGTATCTGGTTCTATAGGGGAAACATGACTTCAGCTTCAGTATAAATAGGAGACAAAGGTGAACAAATATCAAGGTCATTAACAAGCAATTGGGGAACTGACACCCCAGAATTTGGAACATGTGTGAACATACAGATATATTATTTTTAATGAACAGAATATTTTGGGTTGAAAGAGTAGACTATATTTTTGCATTTAACAAACCCCACATACCCTGTGTAACTTTTCTCTTCTCTCATCACAGTCTGGCATGCCCCTGAGACTTGGCGGAATATACCAAAAACATACATTTGTATGCTCTGGCTGCAAAAACAACGGAACACATACATCAATAAACAAAATAATACAGATCAGTCACACACTAAAGGCTAGTCGGTAGCATATTGTAGCACAGACATGGAAAACAAAATACAGTATCCTAGTTCTGCATGTTAAAACAAAATAAATGGATTATAGTACTGCTGGTTGCATCTGCTGTGTTAGATTCCCTATACATTGTCCCATTTACAATGTTTTCAGGTTCTAATGAAGTGCAAATGCTTTGCACCTTCATGCAGTTTTATGAGGAACTGTTTTTCAGGATTGCAGCAAGGGCAACACGATTTTCCTTTTCCTAGTAAATGGAGAGACAAAGCGTATTTGTTATTCTATCAACCAAGAGCTTACGCAATGGCACTAGCAACAGAAAATACAGACAAAATAGCAGATGCTCGGTTATGTGTGTTGATGTAGAATCTCAGCATGAGCAGATTGTATTAAGGTAGTCTTCATTCCCTAAACTGGGAAGTCTTCTGCGGAAGAGAAGAGGAGGAGATAAATCTGACATTTATGATACAAAAAAACCCATGCATTTGGTCAAAAAGCTGCCCAGATGCCAATAGTCATGTAGTTCTTTAGAAAATAAGAGCACTTTTGCACAGCTGGCTTGAAGAACTGTGAGAAGTGTGAAGACTGCTTTCAGAATTCCATACAGATTTGGTTCCTACACACAGGTTAAATGAAAGTAAACTTACCTCCCCTTCAAAAACCATCTCAAATTCTTCTCTGTTTTTGATTTTAGTGTAGAGATATTCTGCCAGCTCCAGGCATTTGTTGATCTGATTTTCAAATCCTACTGTACCCTGTTTTAAAAAGAAAGTAAGTATTAATTATATGGTCATTTTTCCCCTTCCAATGCAATCACCTTTTCAGATAGGCTTCGCTCTTAGATGTTTTCAGTCAGAAAACATTTAGCAGTACTGTTTCTTGTAATTTAAAAGTAAAGTTAATCAACACTATAAAAGTGGCTAAATGTGGCCTAAGTGTAATCACTCTTTGGTTTTGGTCTCGTTTTAAGAGAATTTATTATCATAATAACAAGGGGTTTTGATATTTTCAACTCTTTTTTTTTTTTTTTTCACTTTCCAAAAATATTATTAAGTCTTGGCCTCCCAGCTCTTGCTGAAAGACTGGGAACATGGAATGGGAACTCAGTTGAAAGGGTAAGAGTTGGGAAGTAATTTATTTCCTCTGAACAGTTCGCTAGAAATTTGCATTTTAAAAAGTCAGCAAACAAAAGCCTGCAATATGTTTGCTAAAAGTTATTTGCCCACCTAGTGATCTTTTGTCATATCTGATTTGTTTCGAAAGATCATAATCCCAGAATAAGTAGATGAATGTTGAAAATAAGTAAAATAAGAAAAAAAGTTGTGGGTTTTTTTTAAAGTACACTTCTGTACATGAATGAAGAAGTAAGACAGACAAGTACACTCTTAAATTATTGCATATTTGGGGTAAGATCTTTGTACTGAATAAAATGACTGAAGGTAAAGTCACAAGACTACTTCTGGACCTAGGCTGTATATTTCTACTATAAGGACAAGAGTATGATCACTCATAGTGGCTAAATCTGAAGGAAAAATTTCAATAGCTTCCATAGCATTTTGTTTTCTTAACATTTGAGTAATATAATCATGGAATCTGCTAGAAACAATTCTATCCAATACCTCAGAGAACTCAGGTCCAAGAAATCTGAATCTGTCTCAAGACCAAACAGAAATCCAAAGTAATTAATTTCTGGAGAAATTTAAAATCCAGATATACAGATCAACTTAGCAATTTTCATCTATACTATTTTTAAAGAATCACATCCACAGATATCCTACTTCTGAATTTTACATATGACCGACATCCACTATGGTTTCCAATGTAATGTTTTTCTTTATTGTGAAGCGCTCTACTTCTTTAGTGAAGCCAGTTTAACAGGTGAATATAACAGCAGAGAGAGAATCGGCATGCTAGTTTTAACAAAATGTGTCTGGCTGGTATTTAGAAAAATGTGCAGTTCGTGCTTTGATGGTGTCTGTAGTCAGCACTTGGAACTCAGAACCATAAACAGACGGTTTATGTCAGTTTATGTCCAGCTCTGGGGCCCTCAGCACAAGAAGGACATGGACCTGTTGGAGCGGGTCCAGAGGAGGGCCACCAAAATGATCGGAGGGCTGGAGCATCTCTCCTATGAGGCCAGGCTGAGAGAGTTGGGGTTGTTCAGCCTGGAGAAGAGAAGGCTGCAAGGAGACCTTATTGCGGCCTTCCAGTACTTAAAGGGGGCCTATAGGAAGGATGGGGGCAATCTTTTTAGCCTGTTGTGACAGGACAAGGAGTAATGGTTTTAAACTAAAGGAGGATAGATTTAGACTGGATATAAGGAAGAAATTTTTTTACAATGAGGGTGGTCAAGCACTGGAACAGGTTGCCCAGAGAGGTAGTGGAGGCCCCACCCCTGGCAACATTCAAGGTCAGGTTGGACAGGGCTCTGAGCAACCTGGTCTAAAGCTGTCCCTGCTCATTGCAGGGGGTTGGGCTAGATGGCCTCTAAATGTTCTTTCCAACCCAAACCATTCTTTGATTCTATGATAAACAACACACCTCAAAGTTGCTAGTCACAGTCCGATTCTAATGTGTCATAAGCAGTTTCATGTTACTGGATTACAGTACCAAAATGATTTATTTTGGAGGAAGAACTGAGTCGGAACTGAAATGTGCTTAGCCTAGTAATCAAACCTATGCTGATTACTAAAATAATTGTTATAAGTATTTTGTGTTGAAGCATTGTGTGTCTGTTTCTGAAGTAAATGACAACTCTACAGTCTGTTTAAAAGTAACTGTATGTCTAAAGTTCTGCTACTTTCTTCCCTCAGTCTTCAAAATTGAGGAAATCTGCATGAAAACCTCTTTTACCATCATAGGTTATTTACTATTGCTGTCTGATTCTCACCAAAAGTGAAAACTGTTTTATGGTCGTACATTTTGCCGTCAGATTTAATCTCAGTTCTATAAAAAAAGATCAGACTGTGGACAGGTTACCCAACTGAATTCCCATTTTGTCAGCAGAAGAGCAAGAAGAATAGTAATAAGATGCCTGCAGATAAAGAAATAAAAATGAAATGTGTTTTTTTGACTACATGGACCCTCATCTTGTAAACAGGTAAGCCTGTATGTAAGCCCATGCTTAAATTCAGCCATCCAGGCATACTACAGTAGTCCCAGGGAATCTCCTGTTAAATCATTAGTTGGGCAAAGCTTCTTAAGAAAAAGGCTGTGTTTTCGAAGTTGCTTATAAAATCCATGCATAGAAACGTGATGTTCAAAGGACCCTTGTAAGACATCAAGTCTACTCTGCTGCTACTACAAGTAATCTCTAATAAGATACATATGTAAGTTTATAGAATCACAACAAAAGACCATTTTGGTGTCCTGCCCTCACTGGTTTTACTGCAGGACTCATCTAGTGACTTAAACTTTTCTTCTAATTTCCAGCTGAATTTATTGATGGCTAACATTGTTCTACAATTTAAATGGCTCTTTTCTGACTTAATACTCAGGTGCCTGTGTGTTTAGAGATTGTAATTACACAAACATTTATGTTAAAAATTGTTCCATTACATGAGACTTATAAATTAAATAAATACATTTCTGATTTTTGACCTGAACTTTCATAATTTACCTTTGCCTTCCACATCAACCAGAATTTGAAAATGTCCACATGTCGACCACACTGTATTGCCTTATCTCCAGTGTCATAGGATACATCATACTGTTTGTCTTGCTGGAAGAGATAGCCTGCACACATTTGATTGCAGCCTTGAAGTATACCCTGTAATGAAAAACATGTACTTATATGACTTATATGGCATATGTGCATATGAAACTGCATGCATTAATAATATATTAAAATATATTTCAAATATATACAGAAGAATTGTTCTTTAATGGGCCAAATTATAAAATACTGACCTTGTTTTGTAAACCTAAGCCACAAAAATAATTTCATAACCTAAGGTGGTTCACTTAGAAGTCCCTGAGTAGTCATATAGTTTTACACACCCACACCTGAAAAAACATTCGCAGATTAATTTGAATTCTTAGTTTTTGGTACTAACTTTGTCCATGTCACTTCGTAAGGCTATGTTCTTAAGACTTAAATTTTTGATGTGTTAAATTACACACTAGAATAAAGCTGAGGTCTCTCAGTTCAGCAGATAGCTACAGAAAATGAAGAGGGGAAAAAAAAAAAGTAATTGAAGGCTTCAACTTTATATATTGTCCAGCTTTATGACACCTAACATCAGTGATAAATGTAAGTACAAATTACCTAAACCAGACATTTTTTGCTTACAAATAAATATGGTCCACAGACCAACAGAAATCTACAGATTACTGGGAAACATCTCTGAGGGAAACACAGAGGAGCAAATTCCTGTATGTTACACAGAAGTCTTACATATATGACATTTCTAAAATGGTTTGCATCTCCTTATTAGTGGTTCTTTGAAGATGGTCAAAGACACTGGTGTATCTGATAAATACAAAAACACCTATCAAAGTTCTCATATAGAGAATAAAAAATTTTGCCAAAATCCTGCAGTAGTTAGCATAATAAGCATGCATGCCACTAAATAATGGCTAGTGCTTCCCTCCAACAGATGTCAAAGTGTTTTCTAAAGGGAAATAAAAGCTGCAGTCTTCAGTTTAGAGATGGGTCACCTGGAAGAGCAATGGCGACCTAGGGCCACAACTCCTTCATCACAGTTCTATGCACAGGGACCACTTCTTCAACTAACCTCTTCTAATAGCAACTGACATGCCAGAAATTAGTAGATAACAGAATTAGTCCTAGCCACAGATGACATGAGGTTGTTTTTTTTTTTTTTTTTTAACCATCTAAGGAAAATACATACTGCTTAAAAGAATTATGACACTGGTCTTGCTTTCATTGATGACAACGAAGAATCTAGAAGAAAGCCCTAAATATATATATGTAGTCATAATGAAAGCAGCATGGTTTCTTTTCAATAAAATTGAGAAACTTTTAAACCACTGTGTAAAGAAGTCCCTTTTTATTTAAGCAGTTTAGACTGTGATCTATTACTAAGACCAAGGGTGTATGTTCAGTATATCATTGAAACAACAGGGCAGATGCTTAGATTAAGTATATTAGCATGGCTCTAGTGTTGTTATTAGAACATGCAAAGATTCAACAGCTGAAGATCTGACCCATATTGTCTAGAGCTTTAACAAAACAAAACAAAACCACAAAAAACCAAAACCAGAGCAGATAAAACAACTTCCTAAACACAGTGTAAATCCACACAACTACTCCTTCCAAAAGAAGTTTTGAAATTAAATGGATTTTGCACTACCCTCTTAAGAAGTAGGGCTTGATATTTATTTTTTTAAAAAACTGCTTAATTATTAAATATAAGGCAGACCTTCTCCCGGACAAGAATGGCAGAACATTGTAACAACACTCCCATCATCTTGTGTGGATTCCAAGTGACTGAGTTGGCTCTGCAAAAAAATTACACATTCAGATAGGTCTGGAAAACAGAAACTCAACCTGAAGCAGTCACCTTTGTTTTCTGCTTTCAGCTGGAAATGTATGGAGTTTTGACCATGATGATTTCACTATGGAGATTATTACTCCCTCAAGTGTCTTCTTTCTGAGCTATACTGTCCAGGAAAGGAATTTTTCATGTGTTAATATTGCAATGTCAGACTTCATTAGTTTATATTATTACTAATACCAGCTAATTAGTGTCAGACTATGCTGATTAGCTGATACAGTAACTTCATCCCCAGAAGACTCCACTTCTAGAAACAGCACTAACAAAAATAGTTTGACAGGTTGTATCAATTCAAGGTACTGACTGGGGGAGGGGTGTGTCAGAGAATTAAGGGAATAATACGAATTCTGGGAGAATACAGTTCTTTACTGAACAGCTGCTGGAAAAGTAGAAAGCAGAGGAAAAGACACTCCTCATGCTTATCTGCTTTTCCAGTTAGAGCCACAAGAGACCTATTCTGTACTAGGTTGTCAAGCCCATGGACTGTTAAAACGCTATAAAACTTCACACCACAATCCTACTATTCTGTAGCTAAATCTTAAAACTTTTTACATGTAAACACAGGTGGATGCACAAGATCACCTAATCTACTAGCCAAACAGATGATATGTTCTGTATTTTTAACATACTATCCTAGACAGTTTAACGATGATGCTAAAATAAATGTGCCAACATTACACATCCACTGACCTCTTCACCCTAAGCAATTAATTACCAAATGTCCCCTTGACTCACGGTGTGTTCCAGAGAAGGAAAGCGTATAATCATATTTCACAGACCATGCATGTGTTCTTACAATGTGGTTGAAAGAAAATTCAAAGGTATTTCCTCGTCTTCTGCACCCTGCTCTCAGAGGACACAGACACAACCACAGTTCCTCTGTTTTGAGCAACACAATGACTCCTTCACACCACTCTGAGGACCACTAATTCCATAAAGATTCCAGATACAATTGCAACCTCTGACTGCGCTAGGTTAGACCATAGCATCCCTCAGCCAAAAGAACAGCGCAGCCTGTGCTGTACCTGGGGAGCTCACCATCCCTCTAAAATCTCCTGCTTAGGCAGTGCAAACCAGCAGGTATATAGCTCAGACTGAGGAGGCAATTATCTTTTTAAAAAATTCACTAATAGTTCAGATGGAGTAGTCAAGAAACAGGAATTTATGTAACAGCTCATTTCCTTTGATAGCGCTAAGGTTTCAGTTTAGCACATTTATTTAACTTTCAGCGTTCCAAACAAAGATAATGTCAAATCGGTTTCACAAGAAGCATTAGGTTTATTTTAATGTGAAGAAGTCACTCTCTACCCTGCACAGCCAGCCAGCCGGAGGCTATCCTACCACAGGCAGTCCCAGCTCTGCACCATGGCAGCATGCCAGCCCTTGCATGCCCGTGTCTCCAGGCAGGCCAAATCTGGCCCCAGTGTTAGCAACAGAACCCACCTGGGGCCCATGATAGGCAATTACACAGTACACATGGGCCCCGGCCCATGTCTGACGATCCATACAGCTGACTAGAAAAGAAATAATATCACGCTTCGTGGCCTGCTTGCTTCTGTATTTGCTTAAGATCACGGTCTTAATTAGCACCTCTGGGTTGACCTCAGGTCAAGAGAGGTGTGCCAAACTACTGTGACCAAACATGGGTAGCTTAAGGAAAGTATTTTACAATGCTGACCTCATACTAGACGTGTTGCCATAACATGAGTGACTAGCAAACTAGATTGGACAGAGGTTGATAAGATTCTGCTACTTCAGACTACTCCTGCCACGCCACACCACCTGCAACAGAAGGGTCCACATGGTTTTCCTACCAGTCCTTCTGTACATTATTCTTTATCTTGTACTTGTTCTTCACTTACTGTATGAGATGCCCGCCACTAGGGAAGTTTTTTTTCCCCTAAGGAAGAGCATTGCTCACTGTTCTCATTTTACGCCTTTACCCAGCACCCACATTCAGCACAGTTGACTCAAGGTAGCAATTTGGTGCTAATTTGAGAGTTCACGGGTAGAACTTGTTTCAAATCTTTTTTGCTTCCCTGGAAGCTGGTATCTGCAATGATGGCAAAGATCTTACGTTTCTGATTTTTCATTGCTTTTCTGACTTTTGTTCAGACGGGCAGCCTTTTATGATAGAGCAGTTTCAAAGGAAATCTAGAGACAAACACACCCATGGGGTTATAAACATAGCATCTTCTACAGACTACAGCTTTGTCATCGTTCGATATGGGAACGACTGTGCCAAAGACTACATGTGGGACTCCTCCTGAGTCTGAATTGTAAGGGCTGGGGGGAGCATCACACTCTCACTCTGCTATCGCTTCCAACACAAATGCTTTGCCTTTTTAAATTGTGTTCACATAATATACATAAAAGCAAGACAAAAGCAAGCATATATATATATTATAAACTTTAATTTACAGAACACTCGTTTTGAAGCAGAACATATGCTCTTTATTTTCTGAAAATAACTGCAAACATCTTTCAGGAGAGAATCTCTACAAATTTTCACCATGTCATGGCTTCCCATCATAGGTATTCATGCTCAAACACCTTCTCTGGATTCCTCATTTCTCACTGCTATTCTCAAAACCCTACATTTCAGAGATTGCCTAGCCCTCACACCTCATTTTTTCCTCAAATCCTCCTTCACCCATTCCCAGACTTATGATCCCTTCAAACCTATGCATAGAAGAATCTCCATTCCTTTTTGCCAAGCAATATCCTTGTCCTCCTTCAAATGTGCTGAAAACTTACCTTTCACTCAGCTGTACATCCCCATTTTCTTCTGTACTATGGTTTCAGTCTTCCTAGTGTGAACCTTTCAGTGTCTTCCTTTCGTTTAATTTAGTGTTTAAACTCTTTATTGCAGCAAATTCATCTTTTCATGAATTTGTGAAGTGTCACTTATCTTATGAAACTACTTAAATAACAGTAATACAAATAAGCACCATGTCGTACCTTTCTATTCCATTAAGTTTATGACGATGCTTTCGGGACATTAAGAGTCCACCTCCCCAGGCAGCCTGGAAGAGACAGAAAAAAGAGAAGACTCATTGTTTTGGAAAAGCCTAACATATTTGAATTTACTCAGGATCTAGTAATAAATATTTTAATTCAAGACAAAACATGTGTAAACAAAAATACTCTTTCGTCTGAGTAACAGCACTTCATTTAGTTACTTACATCTACATGGAGCCAGAGGTTATATTTTTCACATATATCTGCAATCTCCTGTATTGGATCAAAGGCTCCATACACTGTTGTGCCTGCAGTTGCATTTACAAAAAGAGGAATGTAACCCTACAATAAAAATAAAAATATTAAATACAAAATCCAACCTCTTTCAGAAAAAAAAAAAAAAAAACACATGAAAATAATTTCAGAAATGTTGCTATCCCATTTTCCATCCTAAAAATGTTTTTCTTCCCATGTGAAAGGTAGCAACGGTAGAAACTAACAAATTGTATACAAGGTAGGAACAAACTCTGTTTTTATCGTACCACAACTTCACAAAATTAACTAGTCAGAAGGTAAAGAATATTATTTTGTCTAATTTTGTCTAATCTCTTTCAGTGAGGAGATTCAAATGTTCTAGTAGAAGACTAGCAATAGTCAAGTAAAGTTGAGACTTTTACAGCAGTATAAAGGAAAATTAATTAAATGTGATTTGTAAGCTGTGATTTGAAGGCTTGAAGTTTTTCCTTTAGTCTTTATCTACTAATAAACAGAACAAAGCAGAACAAAGAAATCCAAAACAAAAGCAATAAATGTGGAACTATCAGATCAAAGTGAGACCGTTTTGAATTAGATGAAATAAATGTGAACTGCAATTTCATAGAGTGCCCAAATGTAAAGAAGTTAATAAATAAATAAATAAATAAATAAATAATCTTGATTGCTCTAGCTTTGGTGGCTTTATACAAAATTAATGGATTTTTCATTACATTGATTCAAGAAATAACAATGAATGCCTCAAAAAATTAAACTTACTGGCTGTATTTACTAACCCTGCAGCCTCACACTTGAAATCTATGGGAATTTTTAGGACTTCAATAGAATTTTTGATGGTTCTGGCTAAACTTTAAAAGTTTGGATAAAAGGAAGTTTAGTTTCATGTTTTCATACTTTTTTCCATGTATTTCCAAACAGAGAGTTATTTTTAAGTCATAAAATACAGATGTGGTTCAAGAGTTAAAAATACTTTGTTTTTAAACAGTAAATGGAAACCTTAGCAAGACATACAGATAACTCCCTAAACAATAAATGAATGTATAATTAAGCAGCTGAAAATATTATTATAACATTTATCATGATAATGTTCTCTTTTAATGTTAACTCTCATCTTTCCAAAGGAAGAGGTAATTTTACTAAGCCAAGCATTTATGTGCTAATTTTTAAAAACACAAACCTTTTGTTTAGCTTCCAAAATTTTTGCTTCCAAATCAGCTGGTATTATTTTGCCTCTGTAATTATTATAGAAACAGAAAAACAAAGAAAATCAAAGAGTGCATGTGGAAATACTAGCTACAGTTGAAATAATTTAATAGGATTTTCTCAACAGGCCATTAGCAACTTGACACACTGTACTGAACCAGTCCTTAAGCACAATACAACAAATTTAACAGATGAACACATTTAATATATCAAAACCTTAGCATTCATCCTACCTTTCATTGCATTTTATCAAAATCACATTGTCTGTTCCAAATCCAAGTGCAGCTCCAGCTTTCTTTATTGAGTAGTGACTCTGCAGCAAAACATATGCACATTTAATGGAGTGGTTGTTTAATGATGAAGGATCCTCACAACATACATCAATACATTAAGAATTAGCAGCGTGTAAAGCTCACATGTTCTGAGGTAAAGAGAACCAGTTTAGGGACTGCAGCCATGCCTTTGGTTTTGACTTCAGGGAAATACTTGTAGCGTGCAGCCATTATGCTGTACATGTTGGAGATGGCTCCTCCTGTGAATGAATAAATGAATGAATAATAAAATAGTGATAATGAGAAAAAATGCCTACTAGACTAAAGACATACAAGTCTCATTTGCATTATGCAGTGAAAGTGGCAGTGAACTATGAAAAAATAAATCTCTGAAAAGCATGGTCATCTGTCTAAACAGCATAGGAACAGACACTCTAGAAAGTCATACTGATAGTTAGATTTTCCTATCCATCATCTCTTTTCAATTGCTAACATTTTGTAACACATTCCTAAAAAGTTCAGCTTTCATCATGCTGCTTTTGCATGACAGCTTCTTGTTAGCAAGAATAACAGGAACTTATCAAATGGTCTGAGACTGAAGAAATGTCACATACTGGATGGATTTATCCCATCTCACTGCAGATACCGACTAGATGCCTAAAAGGTAGATTTCTACAGCTGAGCTAGTTATTCTAAGCTTCCTTGTAGTCAGTTAAGGGAAAGAGGCACTTTGCAGGTTATGATTCCACTAATTCATTTTGACACCTACTTTTGAAGAACATAAATTGAGGGCAAACACCTATTTCTCTTGGTTTACTGCTAGAAACAGCCCAGGACAATCAGCTCAGTTCTGCGATGCAAACCTCAAGATTTAGTAATTTGAATCTCATCCATAAAGTCCAGGATAACTTACTCCTCTAATATTTCTTCATCAACAAGAACACTGAGAAAGATCCATCTTTTTCTAGCAGATGGGACTGGAGACCAAGCAAGTGTGCATTCCCAGATTTTATGTGGGCTGTTCCAAAAGGAGGTGGAATTGTCCTTCATCCTCTGAAACAGGATGGTGTCGCCCCACACCAAACCCAGAAATCTGGAGTTCTGCTGGACACCCACGTTGTCCACACAAGTGCCCAGAACCTCCATGTGGTTTACCAGTCTTTTCTGTCACTGCTGACTGCCTTTATATCACCTTCATGGGAAGACACTTTGTCTTGGTCTTCCTACTGGAATCATACTTGCGAATCCAGTCAGATGATGTCCCAGATAATATGTCCCAGGAAGTGACAAGCAGTCACAGTCTTTTTCTGACTGTGAGCCCAAATCGTCACTGACCATCAAAGAAGTCAGTACATGATTCTCAAGAGCTATTGGTCAGCAAGAATTGTGGTTGCTCAGCACCTCTAGAAATGAACTGCAAAATAAGGGTGTTTAAATGCCTAACTATACCAGAGCTTGTAGTAAAATTTTAAAATACTGACCAGCCACGACACATAGCCATACTCAAGGATAAGTTATTTCTTTTTCCCCAAACTTTTTTGTGGGATCTTTAAACAAAGAATTCCTACTTCTAAATATCTGACGCATTGTTTTATGTTGCACATACTGTGGGCATTCAGACACAGCTTATGCTTATTTCAACTTTTGAAGTTTTAGTCAAACCACCAAAACAGAGAGAAAAAAACCTCACCAGGTGAGAATATTCCATCGCCATCTTTATTTGACCATCCAATAATCTCTCTCATCTTTTGAAGTGTTATTTGTTCCATGAGGACAAAAACAGGGGCAATTTCATAGGTAAACCTGCATGGATAAAACAAAAAAAACCCCAAACAAACAAAATTCATTACAGATTCTAAACACACACAATAAACTCCCAGTCTATGATTCTTTGTGAAAATGCTTAAGATTCCTAAAAGTTTTCCTATAGACTGAGATTCTGATATTGAGGCCTTTACCCAAGCAAAAATCCTCAGGAAGACAATACTGGAAATACTGGTCAATAAAATGGCAGTATTAGCCTTTTTGCAACTTTCTATATAACCAACATAAGACCTGATGCTCATCATCATAGTGCTGCTGACTGCTTGTGAGATTGTACTGGAAAACACTTGTTTTCCAACATGCCAATTCCACGCTTGTGGAATAACATATTGCCAAATCCTTATGAAAACAGTGAACTTCACTAAGCTAAACACAACCATAATTAGAAATATTGAGCTAGGGCTTCGAAGTCTAAATACAATTAATTATGTGGATTTATTCTGTTGATGATCTCCAAGGACAACTTATTTCTACAATACCATGCGATCAATAATTGTCAAGAGTAATTATAAATGATGATTTTCTAATTACCAATTACCAAAAACAAGTCAGCAGTCAACTATCGTATCCACTTAATGAGGGCAAAAACCACTGCATACTCTGGTATGCCCTGGTGTCACAGACAGATATGTGGATGGAAAGTGACAGGCCTACAACCATTTTTGGTGATCAAGGTACATAGATAAATTGGTACTGCTGTCAACAAACTCCGCTTGCTGTGTATTAAAAAAAAAAAATAAAAACCACACCCAAAACACAACCCCCCAAAAACCCCCAAAAGAGTAGTAAAAAAGGAGGGGGGAAAAAAAGGAAGCTGAGAGAAACTAAACAATCAACCTGTGATTTCCAAAGGAATCTAGACAGACATGATACCCTGACACTTTGGATCTGACTGATGTCTTCCACTTGAATAATTTTGCCAAAACGTATGTGTTGTCTCTCTAATACCAAAATGACATTTTGAGAATAGATACGGCAAACTTTAAGGAGACACGTGATATGAAGAAGGGAACATGTGCCTGACAAGCTTGTCTTTTGTTTACAGCTACACTGGGTAGTTAAAATATTAATTTTTTCTTCAATCCTTATGTGTCCTTAGTCCATCAGAGAAACACCACCACTATTTTTAAAACATTCCTTTAAGATTAAACAGCATTTCTAATTTACTTAATTGTTGTAATTGCTATTTTCAGAAGCCAAAATACTGCTTATTTTGCTTTTACTATCACTAGAACTGTCAAAGACAGACAGTTGAACACTCATCTGAAGTTTGGGTGCTGCCAACATTTGCAGAGAGACAAAATTAATAAACTGGTTGGTGTCTGCTAACAGTGGGGCTTTTTTTGTTTTGTTTTTAAGCACTGCAACTCCAGGATGTATTCCAATCTTTATTTAGGCAGAATGACGAACTGACGTCAACAGGAACTCGGTGGTGTACAGATCACTGTATATACAAGATATGTTTAAGTCAATGTGATTTTTTTCTACCAGTTTAAACACATTTTGATTTTTGTCCTGACACCTTGCACACTGATCCCTACATACTTCCCAGAAGACTTAAAGGCTTGTACAAAGAATATATAATAAAGCAAGTTTTTTGTATATTAAATATCAAGTGTTCACAAGGGGAATTCTGAAGATACTTAAACCCAAATAAAATAGTGCTTAGTTATTTGATTATATAATTATTTTCTGATTCTCCAAAGACTGACAAAGAAATAAAAGATGACTGCAGATGATTATAAATGATAAGGCCAATACAGCTATATTAGATGATGGCTATGATTTTTAAAATCACATCTTGCTAAAGTTCACTCCGACTTATTTGTTTTAAACCTAAATGGTTTTCAAAAATTCAGTTAAACGCAGAAAATGTGTTTGGCTTGGAAGGAACTGTCTGACTTTAGAACCAATCTCCTGACAAAAAATGCTGATTAGATTTTTCATACAGTTACAACCTTTACAGGTATTTCTATGAATTAAATAAAACAGTCGTGAGTCTCAGCTCTTTACTAACAGCATAAATGAATAGGTTTTTTGGTAGTGGACAGTGCTGGCTTAATTCTGCTCTTACCTAAAGGCCAAATCATTTTATCAGGCCAATCATTCTAGCTACCTGTTCTCCTGTTTGCCAGTATGCAAAAAGCATTCTGAGAAGAAACGTAAAGCATTTTACATCATTTTTCTATGTTACATTTTCATAAGCGTAAATGCATAATACTGAAAACACCATTAGAATTCTCTCATCTTGGCTAACAGTGGGCATAAAGAGAACTTCCAGGTAATATTATATTGCTTTCTAACCTCAGCTGGCTGCTGTGTGGTGAGCAAGTGACCTGCACTACAGATCCCTAGAGCTGGATGAATAAGGGCAACTTCTGAAATTTCCACCCTGAGGGTCTCATGATTAGTGATTGAGCTATGAATAGCACATTGATACATTATTTCCAAGTCAATGTGGGAAGTTTATTATGTTTAATTTAATATATTACCTTCGCAGTGACATTTAAATAACATTTCCTAATGACAATTTAAAATTTTAAGAGAGTAGAGATGTTTTGATTACTCAGAACTCATTTGCAAAAGAAAACACATATTTTTTAATTGTTACAAATATTTTAAGTATTGTTTATAGGTGGAAAAGAAAAAAAAGAGCAAACAGAAAACATTCCTTGCCATAATCCAGTGTTACTGTCGCTTGTGTGTTACATGCTTGTATAGCTGAAATAGGTTAGAACAGTTTCTAGGTAAAGGTCAAAACCTGCTCTTCTGTGCTGGAACACTGCTCAAAACAACTAATATGTTCCCCAGAGCTCACAGAGATGATTTGGCTATTTTTAATAGCCTTCTCTGTCAGTTCTTTGAATCATATTTTACAAACATCTTGCTTTAGCCTTACTTGCAATTACTGCGTTACTTGAAAGCATATCATGCTGACCTTGGTTTGCTGAGAAAAAAAGAGAGCAATGTATTATTTTGCATTTGCTAAACCTCATGTAAGCAAATAGATACTAAATTTTCATGCTCACAGAGAAGTATTTTCAAGATATATTCTTGTTTAAAGTATAAATTGATCAGAAACTAGTTTGACAGAACCAGCTATTTAACAATTTACTTTTAAAGCCAAACAAAGGAAAAAGCAACCTCATTTAAAAAAAAAAGTTACTCTTTCAGAAGTGAGTGCAATGTTCTTAATAATGATGGCAATATTTCATAATACTGTCACAGTGTGCCACAGAGCTGAATTCTATTAGGTCCTATCACATTTGTGCAATTTCACTGATTACAAAAGGATAACTAAGCTAGGATAACTAAGTCAAAGGAAAAGGGGCTTGCAAAAAGTGACACTCTCTGAAGTATGTTTTTGTCACAGAAGAACAATATTTAAGCAAAGTTTTCTTTTAGAAATGTAATCAGATTTGTTTTCACTTTTAATCATGGTGTAAAAAAAAAAAAAAAGGCATTTTAAAGCACTTTGCAATACTTGTTTTACGATTAAAATATATGTGGCTGGGTTTTCTTCCCAATCAGCTTTTAAATCTGAATGTGTCATACCAATTTTTAGCAAACAGATAACTAATTGAGAAGATTTTTATTACAAAAAGCATGCTGGTTTTGGCTGGAGCACTTATGTATTTTTCTTTATTGCTAATGTCACAAAACAGGCACAGCTCTACATAGAGCTGGTAGTAATCAGCTATACTTAATGATCCATATACTCATGGATAGGCCAGTGAAAACATTGTTCATTTTTCCAATCTGCAGATACATTTCCTGTGTTCTGCCAATTAGCAACAAACTACCCAAAACAGAGGTAGCTTTAGAGTTAAAACACATCCAATACAGGACTAAAACAGAACAGTCTGTTACCTGCCAAGTATTTGGACTCCCATCACATTTTTTAGCATATGCAGATCAATATATGAATAAAAACTGGCTAGAAGGTTTTTTGGTTTGGTGGGTTTTTTTTCATTAGTTACACTCTTTGCTGCAAAAATTCAACGTAACACCTCACATTTACATCTAGCTTTCATTAATTTTGAGGTCAAGAAAAATTAGGAAAAGTTTCCTAATTGATATGCTCCAGATGTAAAATTTTACTTTTTTTATACTTCCATTTATTTATTTACACACAACTTTAATAAATCTTAGACTAATTCCTTCATTATTATCAAATTAATTTTCAGTGTTACATTTTTAATCATTTTGAAGCCACTTCTTTACCAGCATACGAACAGAAGGTGGTGCCCCAAGCCTGCTACCTCTGAAGTCAACAGGAGAAAAGACAATAAAGTTTTACGTATTTTGTATTCTAGTGTTAATACACAGCTGCAGAATTACTCAGTCTAGAGACAAAGCTTAAAAAAAAAAATAGGGAAAAGATAAAGAAGATGGGTCCAAGAGAAGAAAAATAATTTCATGTTACTATATTTGAATCATCATGTTTTACTTACCACGTGCTCTGGGATATTTGCATTTCTATTTATCAGAAATGTAGAACTGTTCAGCTGTATAGAACTATTTTGACTGTACTACTGCCACATTAAGAAAAAAAAGGAGACAGTTTTATTGAAGACACAGCAATGGTCATTTAAAGAAGAAAACGACACGCGTCTGTGACAATGCGTGCCCACCATGATAGATGGCAGCCCCTGTAAGCACCAGTCACAGACGGTGATGACAAGACGCTGCTTACATGTTTGTATTAGCAGTTGATGTCAGCCACTCCCCAGCCAAGCCAATGATATCCAGTCCTGTGGACAGCTGATTGAAAAAGCGAGGGTGACCTGGAAAGAGAATTGAGAGCAACTTAGGACAGCTCCACCGGTCTCTCTCAGGTCTCAATTTCAAAGCGGCCAACTCTCCCGCCCCAAGCGATAGCTCTGCGCTTGCAGTGCAGTTATCGAAGCAAGTCCCGCTTACGGGGAGACCGTTCACCAGCGTTCACGGGTCTTCTTTGTCTTGTTACAAACTTGGAAAACCGCTTTGGAGGGAGCTCCTAGTATGGAATCGTTCGCGTCTGAATTAAAAGACAGGCGCTCAGAGCCGACCGAGCCGG